TATATATATACTACACACACACACACACACACACACACACACACACACACACACACACACACACACCCCTCCTCTCTCTCTCTTCCCCCCCTCGTAATGTATAACCACAGATCAACAGCATGATTTGAGTTATACAACACTTGCTTTTACTCTGGATATAGAAACAAATGAAGTAACTTATTTCCACAGCATACTTGCTTGCTTCTACACAGTCCTGGCTAGGAGAAACATGGTTAAAGACCTTTACTGATGCTGGGCCAATGAAATAAAAAAGTTTGGCTGCCACAGCCTTATTTTGTAGTTGCTGTGTGGAACAGTTTCTTTTGAAATCTCTACTCACTTACCTACTTGCTGTGATCTAAGCTTCAGGTTTTTGATCTCTTGATCCTTTTCTTCTATAGCTTGATGCAAAAGGGCGTGAAATTCTCTCTCCTTCTGCACTAACTCTTCTAGTAGCCTGCAGGGGGGGGGGGGCATGGATTTTTTAAATTTAATTTTATGTTTTCAACCCTAATACACATGTAAAAATATAAACATCCAGTGTTCTAGTTCTAGAGAGTCCGGGGACTTTCAACAAAACTAGTTTGAGGCATTCATAGCAAATAGGAGCTGCACAGAAACTTTCAATGAAGCTTCAGCAACTCAGCATTCCTACTTAACTGAGTCTTTTCTTAAAGAGAAAAATTAAACAAAGCAATTGGGTAATGTGTTCAGCTATGGATGGAGTGTCATTGAGGCCAAAACCATTAATGGACATAGCGCGAAGTTGTGACTTTAAGACATTACGCTTCATAAGGCGCAGGGCAGCTATACCTACCCCAGCAGGAGCTCCTGAAAGCGCTGCATTAAAGGTAGATGCAGCTGGAGTGTGGCCACAGCTATACTTCTTGAAAGGGTGTAGCACACATTCCCTTCCAATGGGAGCAGTCCCTCCCTGCCCTCTTTGTAGAGTACAACATTGCTGTAGATTTTAGCCTAGATCAGTCCTTGCACTCAAAGTCCAGAGACTGGCTTTGTGCCCAGCCCTCAGTAGGCTTAAGGGGTTGGTGGTCACCTCCCTGCATCTTCTCCTAAAGCTTAATCCTTTAGGATAAGATCTGTTTATTTTAGAGAGGATTGACTAAGTGGGGTCATGATGAATCATGTAAAATTAATATCTACAGAAGGTCAATTAATGCTTCTATTTAACCTCTCTCATAATACAAACGCAAAGGGACACCTAAAGGAAGTTAAAGGCAACAAAGTTAAAACTGATAGTTATTTCCTTCTAACGCCAGGCACCGTTAATCTGTGAAACTCATTGGGGCAATATATTGTTACAGCAAAGAGCTTAGTAACATTTTAAAAATAAGACATCTGAACACAACACAGTTACAATAGATAGGATGCAAAGGATATAAATTGTACTTTAGAGCATTAACCTACTCCACTAACACCCTGAGGTTAGGAAGAAACTTTCCCCAAACTTCCCCTTGGAAATGTTAGAGTATAATTGTCTATTATAGGGATTTTACATCTTCCTCCAAAGCATTTGGTGCAGGCCCCTGTCAGATACATGATAGTGGATTAGATGGACCATTGTTTTGTTCCTAACAGTACATATAGTTTATTCCTTACCCATTCATCTGGGTTGAAAAATGTATCCACAGTCATCTAAATAGTTTACTACTTTTTGCCTTGCAAATGACCGCCATATGCTGCTTATGCTAACAAAGCTTAAAGAAATATAATTATTTAAGGGAGGTTTTCCATATAACTTATGGAAGGTGGTATTTTTATATCTAATTATCATGACAAAGTTTTTGGTTTTGCATGTGAGAGCAGCATGTTGCTCACGCCTTACTTTTTTAAAACAAAAAACAAAGAAACTAACAGTATATCTTTCATACATTCTTAGAGTGAAAGGAATGAAACTTTATTCTGAATAGTAACATGTTGTTAGGATGCCACTCCCAATCAGAAACTTGGGCAGTAACGTGTGACTAGCTTAACTAGTTTCTTTTTAATTCCTTCGCTTAATGGAGATTGCGGAGGTTTTTGTACGAGGACTTCTGAAGTATATTGTCATTGTATTATATATGGCAATTAGAATATGTCTTAACTATCTATTTATGTCAAGATGAATATATTACATTGTAATATGAGAACTCACAAACTACATTTACTCTAACAAGAAAATGCAGTGCACTTTAATGCTAACAGGTGATGCGGAGTTACTAAAAAGCTTCTCTTGTCTAAAGACCTCAAATCAAGCCAAATCACACTGAGTTTTCTAATGTGCTTGGAAATGAAGTGTCATTGCCAAACATTTGTAATTAATCATCAGTATAAAGGATTATAAAGAATATTTCAGCACTACAAGATTTGTCCTATCAAGATACAGTGTATATACACATTTTAATATGTACAGACATATTTTTCAATTAGTTCCGAAATCTGTTTTTTCAGGCCTGTTTTTTTCATAAGGCCTTACTGTTCTTCACCTTCAACTATCTGAGAGAACAAATTGTTTGTTTGTTTTTAAAACAATTCAGCGTCCTAGGGATCAATCCTGCTGTAGTGAATTCTGCATGCAAAACAAGACAAATGACAAGACTGGGCCCCATTTAATTGTGCAGTGCCCCTGTTCAGCAGCTTGGATTTGTTCCCTGGGAATAACTATAAAAAGGAATAATGAGTTCTGCTTTTATGGAAATGAAATGTGTCATTTAACCATGAAGCATGAAAGGCAGGAAGAGCAGAACCTTGGCAACAAGTTTAATAGTCAGTTAAAAACAGAGCACGCCTGAAAGCAAGATTTACACTCATTTTTGTCAGCAGTGTACTGAAGTGAATAAGCCTGAGATAAATGATATGGATTTTTCCAAGCTCAGAATTACAAATTACTGTTTATCATCAAGTAAATGAGAAATGCACTGTATTATGGATTATCACAGCTGTCAGATTTGGAGAAACTATTTAAGAGTGAAAGAAAAAGCATCAATCATAACAAATACACTTGGATCCCTAGAAGTCTAGACTTACCTATTTGTCTCTAATTTTAGCCTCCCTAGTTGAACATTCAGCGATCTATGAGCAGCCTGGGAATCGTGGGACATTGTAGAACTGAGTGTGCTCACACCTGAGGTAGCTATAGCATCTTCTATGACAATGCAAGGCCGTTGAATATTTTGATTCTGAGGCTGTTCATCATGATCTTCTTCAACTTCTATGTCATCCTGATCTGCTGTATCACTTTCAGATGCAAGACTAAAGTGTGGCCTCAGTTCTATTAGAAATAATGTTCATTATTAATCACAATAATAAAGTCATATTTAAATAATTATAGCTCATCCTAGAGTTTTGATTAAACCATGCCTGAAAAATTTGCAGCAAAAGGTTGTAATTGTGTTTCCAAAGGGTTTAAAAACAGCTTGAAAATGCCGCAATGGCTTAGTACATTTTGAACATTATTTGGCTTCTGATGATCATTTACAATCTCCAAGCAGTAACAATCTGTACTTACTAATAGGATTCCAGATTTCGCTAGTATTTTTGTCATAAACCATGCAGAAATCCCAGAATTCACTGTGTGTGCCACATAAAGCAAACAAGGTGCAATACCTGCTCAAAGTTTACAATATAACATGCTTGCATTCCTCTCACACAAGGCCTCATTCAAAACACACTGAAGTCAATGGGAGTCTCTCTGTTAACTTCAATAGTCTTTGGATCAGACCCTTAAAACTAAAAAACTCTAAACACATTATGTAATGGATTTTAATGTGAATAAAACACAATTCTGTAGGCAAGTGATTTGGCTAAAGTGTTGGCTTCAAAGATATGTCTCAAATCTTTTTTCTTTATTTTGCTTTTCAGATTTACAGTGGAGTATTTGTTTTAAAGCCAATGGACTTGGTTAAATACAAGACAGAATAAAAGTCAGATGTTAATTTTAAGTATTCTGATATATTCTGTTTTCCTTTTCTTCCTCTGTCAACATCACTCTAGCTTCCAATCTTTGTTTTATATTTATTCTTGTTTTTGCCTCCGATTTTCAATGGCTCCCTGGGGTATTCATTCCGAAGGTCGTCACTATTTGTATGAAGCATATGTTGCTACTTTTTCCCCTTCTCTTTTATACTGTTTATGTTTTGAAACAGAGCAATAGCTGTTTGAGATTTATTTTTAATGACCACTATCGCACACTGTATTTTAGGTTAAAGCAACAGTACCTTTTAATACCACTACCACCACTTTGGATTTACATTATATCCATCATGCAATGGATGCAGTCTTCTAAATGCTCACTGCAGCTGCACACGAGATTGAAGGCTTTAGGGATTTTTCTAAAATAATCCCCAAATCTCTTTCCTGGTCACTAAACTGGAGCACTCTCTGTACAGCAAACATTTCCCTTCTTTATTTGTTCTCCACAGCTTATAATTTTTCATATATCTGACCTGAACTGCATTTTTCAAACTCTTAAATTACCATAAATTCTATACCTGGGGGCAGGGTTCCCATTCTTCCAAATTTAGCAAGACCATTACCCCCTAATGATAGATAATACTAAAAAAGTGGAGTAGCACTGTTCATTTTCACTTGTCAGAAGTCAGTTCTGACTATTGTATAAAGAGGGAATGTACTCTGCCTCCTCTTCCTTCCTTTACACTAACTACTAATTCTTATCAGTTATGTAAAACATGTACTCCATTAGGTCTGTGGTATTCTTCTACAGTGTATTAACAAAGTAACGTCAATTTGCAAATTCCATCAAGTTAGTGATACACATCCTTCCTTTCCTTCTTCAACTGAGACTGGTTACCTCTAAGCCTTTTCCCCCCCAAATATTCTCCCATTTGATTCTTAATTTTTTCAGGCATTCCCCCTAATTGCTGGCAAACTCAGAAGCAGATTTCCCCACCTTCCCAAGGGGAGTTTGCCCAGGATCTCCTCCATTGTCTCGCTCTTCACTTCCAGACATTGCAGTATGCTCTTCCACCACGGAGCTAAGGTAGATTTTGACATTCTAAGGCCTGGTCTACACTGCGCGCACGGAGGGGAAGGGAAGGGGATTGATCTAAGTTACGCAACTTCAGCTACGTGAATAATGTAGCTGAAGTTGATGTACTTAGATCTACTTACCAGGGTGTCTTCACTGTGGTAAGTCGACAGCTGACACTCTCCCGTCAACTCCGCCTGCACCTCTCGCCCTAGTGGAGTACTGGAGTCGATGGGAGAGTGCTCAGCGGTCGATTTATCGCGTCTAGACTAGACGCGATATATCGACCCCCTCTGGTTCGATTGCTGCCCATCGATCCAGGGGGTAATGTAGACAAGCCCTAAGCTTCCAAAGGCAATGAAACTATACTTGCCACAAATTGAGGAAAGCAGACTAATCCTCCACCAATAATCCAAATTGATTTTTTTTTTAAACTGTGAACATGTTTGGATTCCCGTTAAACTATTATGCTACACTAAAGGACAACAATTTATTAGTCTTGTAAACGAGATCTAATAACTCCTCCTCTTTGAATAGCTCCCAGTATGTAGTTTTTGGTTACAAATAAAAAATAAGCAGTAATAAAAACTCCTGTGGACTTTTAAGCACTCTAGTAAAACTAAAATCAGACATACAATGTAACTTGGAAGTATCAAACAAACAATTTATTGATAAATTATTAGAAATTAGATTTTAACTGGCAAATGTTGATAAATATCCATTTCACCAACACACACAAAATGATGAGAAAATATTTCTATAGATAATAATTGAAATGTACAGATAGGCAAAGTAAGAAAAATGTTGCTTGAGAATTTAAGTTAAGAATATTTACTTTTTATATTTTGACACATGACATTGATTATTTGTTTTAACAGCTTAACTTTTAAAATCTCAATGTCTCCTGCCATTAAATAATTATTGTCTGACCTCTGATTGTCTGCCCCCCCATAATTTCCAAAAACCTGAAAATGTAAAAAAAAAAATGCTTAAAAATAAACATTGATATTTCTGTCAAAAATAATTTAAAAAAAATCAAATTCTTCACAGCCTACTTATCATTTACACTGAAGATAGCTACGCAAAACAGGAAGGACCTTAAATGCTTAGGACTTTAGGATGGGAGTTTTCAAAAGCACTAAGTGGTGGCCTGACTCTTCTCACATTGAAGTGAATTGGAATTGACTTCAGTGGGAGCAGAATTTAGGGCAACACAGAGCGCTTTTTGAAACCCCCACCATTAATACCAAGAAAAACGTACCATGCATGGCAGTTAAGCTTGCAAAAAACATTGCAAAGAAACATTCACACTTCTCTAGTCACTTTGTCATTACTCCAGACCTATGTTTCTCCCCAAAACCATATTTGTGATGTGTGAAATTTACCCCTGTAAAAATGGCCCACACACAGGGCCGGCTTCAGCGTTTTTGCCAGCCCTAAGTGGTGAGAAAAAAACAAAACAAAACAAAAAAAACGCGATCGGCGGCACTACCACCGCCACTTCATTCTTCGGCGGCAATTCGGTGGCAGGTCCTTCCCTCCGAGATGAACTGAGGGACTTGCCGCCGAAGAGCCGGACGTGCTGCCCCTTTCCGTTGGCTGCCCCAAGCACCTGCTTGCTGCGCTGGTGCCTGGAGCCAGCCCTGCCCACACAGTAGGGCTCAAGTAGAATTTAAGTAGTCCAAAGGCCTTGTGGAATAGCTCTATAAAAGGGCAATTTATACCCTATAGCAATTGCAAGGAAAATTGCCAGTCCGTATTAACCTCTTGAATGCTGCAAATTTAGTACGCCCAATAAGAATGCAACTGCCGTACTGCTGAACGCAGCAGGTTCATTCTAAAGTTCCACTGTTTTCAATGGAGGAAAGCAGCATAGTGGGTGTGGCAGACTGGAAACAAATGGGTTAGCGTTTCTTTAACATGGAATCCTTCTCCGTGCCTACTCACACACAACAGAAGCCTTCTAGCTGTAGCAGGGAAGAATGTCTGGCTACTACCCCTAGAGAGAGTTTTTGGCCAGTGGAGCCACACAAGTTATTGTTACACTTCTTGGGTGGCCAACAGTCTGTACCTCAAAGCACATATTCAAAAGAGCTAAGTATGTTGGGTGCTGAGCTCTTTTGAGCTCTCTTTCATATCCCATGTGTGGATGCTGAGTACCTGAAAAATCTGGCCCTCTAAATGCACCAATAAGTCTACTACTGGTCACCCATTTGTCACTTATTATATTATGCATTCTGGAAAGGTGCACTCCAAAATAGCTGTGACAACTCACCTATGAATACTTGGTTTGTGAAACAGCTATTGCATGTCAACAAAGACAAAAGGAGGTCATTGCAAGTTTCAAAAGCTTTCATGAAGCATCATGATCACAGCACGATTAAAAACATTTTAAGCAATCAGAGATTAAATGTTTGCTGTGTAACAGAGTGACTCACCTGGGATCAGAATAGTAATAGCAGTCTGCACAGCTTTTCGAATTATGCTGTCCAAGGCAAACATCCAGTGTGGCTTGATGTGGTGATTTCGTAAAACTTTATTGACCTGATGACAGAGAATGCAGTTCAGAAATCATTTTATCCTCAAAGCTGCACACAGCTGATAATATGATATTAGTCAGCTACACTGCATTAAAAACAGTGTTTTCTTTAAGTAACTTCATGGTGTCATTAGACAAGAAAATATAATAGCAGTGTTTCCAACTTTTGCAATATTGTTGCAAGTCTTGTGACATTTGTATTTTTCATAAAGTCTTAGCTCCTAGCGTCAAGTGGTTGCATGAGAATCTTAGCCTTCATTTTTAAAAAGGTAAGATTTTAGCCCTCAGGGTTGTGGAGGAAAGCTTAAAAATGCAAACCCTGAATGTTTCAGCACCACAGGGCAAATAAAAATAACCCTTTTAAAAAAACAAATCTCAAGACTTTTAAGCCAATCTCGTGATTGGGGGGGGGGCGGGAAGAGTGCTGACATGTTTTTTGACTGCTTCGGTTGGGAAGACTGTAATACAGTTGTCTATTTTAAAATAAAGATGGGTCAACCTCTTCAAAAAACAGTGTGAGGCTCTTCCCACTTGAATAAGAAAGGAGCAATTTAATACTAGTTTACTTAAATGGAATTTTGCTAATTCTTTTATTGCTTCTAGTCTGGTTTGGGAAGGAAAGAGGTTGTGGATTTTCTCTGAAATTTAAAAATATCTGTAACAAGTTAAAGATTATTTTAGATTCCTTTCCCTTGCCCCTTTCCTCCTATTTTTTGGCCCAGTATAACCCTGCTGATTTAGAGGTGGTGGCTAATGAAATTATAGCCTCTTCCATACCTACTGGCATGGTACTGTCCTATCTGTGTATTCCTGCAGTGTTGCCTTCAAAACTTCATTCTCAACTACACTCTTAGCTCTCTGTAACTTATCAAAATATATTTTTCTGAGGCTGTTCCTTTCAAACTCTCAAAGGGCTGGAAGTGAGCCGAGAAAGGAAACAGCCAGGGTATGATGGGGTGGTGGATTATTCAAAAAACTTTACAAGGACACCTAGACAAAGTTGGCAGCAACAGCAGCCACTAGGTTTCACAAGCTGGCTCTCGAACTAGGCCACCAGGGCTATACAGGAAAAACTGACAGGTGAAACCAACAGCAGTAGGACATATAAGGGAGCAGGACTCAAAACTTTTCAGCAAGACAAATTAAATTACATTTAGAAGTTCATTCTAATAAAGATCCATAAATGCCTCATAGAAAAATTTCCTCTGTGGGGACTAATAGGATATTTTCTATGTCTTTTCCTTGGGTTTTATTTTGAAGGCACTTCATGAAAACAGGATCAGCTTATTTCTCTCTTCTGAAGGTTGTCAGAATCTTCTTGTAGGAAATAACAGTGATGTCACAAAGATGATGATGTTTTGGGGGGATGGATGGAAGTTCAAATGAAGATGTGTTCTACTATTGCCCAAAGACAACTATAAAATCTATTCTAATTTCTTTATTACAATGGCCACTAGATGGCAGTCTGTCATGTTGTAAGAGAATTGCTAGCAAGCTGAATGTATATCATTAGAAGAATGCTATGCTGCTGAATAAGCCCAACCACAGGGTTCAGAAACCAGTCAGGAAAGGTGTTGAGCACCTCCTGGGAGGTGTATTGACTTTATGAAAATTGACGCTGCTCAACACCTGCCTGGAAGTATTCAGCACTTTGCATGATTGAGCCTTTAACGAGCACAAAGTTCAAGCTGATTTCCGCACTGAAGAGGCATAATGTGACTTTGTCAAGGAACACAAACATCCACAGTAGTATGACTAAGCACTTTAGAATACAAAACAAAACTTTTTTTCCCCGGTGCCTTGATCAGGATATCTTGACTATCAGCCCTTATTATTTCCCATGCGTCCTGAGAATAAAGGAGATAATTTCCCCCATTTTTAGCAATATCCTGATATTAGAGAAGAGTGTGATATCTCAATTTAAGCTGTTTTTCTGTGATAGAGGTCTGAGGCTACACAGCTCCCACTGACTTCAATGCTTTATCTAGGTCCCCTACAACATTGGGACCTGGATTCAAAAAGTTCCTGTTTTAACTATTTCCTGTTCCCAGGAAATGGAAGAGGCCTGTCCTAAAATAAGCACTGTATTTGGAAGAGAAGAAAGTGACAGAAGAGAGGCCTGTGTCTGGGATGCTGAAATACTATCACTGGGAGGTTTGCCTTGTAACTGAATGATATATAATGGGACAAAAAACTCCTACCAAAAGAGTCACTGTGTCGAAACAAACGCTGACACTTATCATACAGACATGAAGTGCCACCCATTCTGATATCTCTAGAATGGTCCCTGTTCTCACACACGTGTGTCCTGTTTTCTGTAATGTCAGTTTTCAGGATACTAAAATTGCAGAACTCTTTCTGATTGGGATCGCATAGCCAGCCAGATTCTTCTCCCAAAACATCCCAATTGCTTTAAATAGTGATTCTCGGCCATTTGCCTTCACCAATAAATTGCATGGTGATACAAAGCTGCTTCTATCTGAACTTCTACCACAATCTCTGAGAGTTGCAGTGGAGGATATGTATTTACTGCTTTGTTACTCTCCACCGGGAAAGAGAAATTCCCAATAAACCCTTGCTTCTTCACTGGGACTCTTCTTGGTAGGATCCAGGACTATTTTGTTTAAAGCCTTCTGTTTACATTCTTTGTATGGCCTCTTCAGCAGGCCAGCTCATCATCTTTTACCCAATGACAGATTTTACAGAACTTCCTCAAGTCAGTGGGCTTTCAATTCAAGATGTGGGTAATCTGGTAAATTTACTATGGGACTGAGTACAAAGTGGAAAAGAGGAGTGTATGAACAAGGTGGTCAACTTGGAAATAAGATAATGTACATGCATCTGGAGTTACCACCACCAATGCCATGACAATTGTGACGTGGCTGTTCTGCTGTACCCATTATTGTGCACATTAATGGAGTTCAAGTATTCTGAATTGTGCTATTTCATGCTTGTGACATCATTAGGCATTTTATACAAAGGGAATGAGTCAGCGGTGGACTGCAATTTATCAAACATTCAGAGATTTTTTTCATTCCATTCGTATGATCATGGCTTAGATTTAAAGGGGCAAAGGGCCTCCTGCTTTGTATTGGATTGAATATCTGATATGGAAGGTTTGACTTTGTTGTGCATTATTAATGGGTTTGATCCATGACGTATTGCAAGACTAAACAGAACAGAGGGCAGGAGGAGGACATTCAAGGTGAAAAACTCCATGGAGGGAGACAGGAAACCTTCCTACAATTGCTTTATTTTCTATGCTGGCCTTCTGGGGAAGTGGTATATAATTCTGTGCTCACTTATGCCCTGCACAAGACCAGGCAACCTTTTCAAATAGTCTCTCTACTTTTGGAGAGCCCTAGATTTAAAATGTTCATGGGGGCATCACCTTGAGTGCCCTTCTTTTGTCTTTATGTCATTTTAACCTCATGGATCCAACCAGGGCACAAAGTCAAATTCTCCCAATATCAGTTATTCAGCCCTGAACGAAACAAGATAACTTTTACCCCTTTAAAACAAGTGTTAGCAGAGAATTTGTAATAACATTTAAAGCAGGCTCTGGGAGAGCAATACTGCTTTTTAATAAGATGGCTATTTAAAGGGACTCCATTTCTGTGTCCTATTTATCATTGTGGGGAGTGCCAGTATTACATTAGCTACTGGCATATAAAAAAATAGCCATTTCATCATAGTTTGGGGTGAAGGTTTACAACTCAGATTTGGCCAAATTTTGCTATTGGATCACTTGCATCAGGACACGAATACAACGGCAATATTATAAACTAGGTATGGTTTAGTTTGTTGGGATTTTTTAAATGCATTAATTTCTTAGCTGAGTCAAGTCCAAGAGATCTGTATACATGCAGCACAATTTTGTATTTATTTACCAAGAAACCCCCAACCATTACATTTTTTGAGGCTTTCCTACTTGAGGAATATGGTGTAATATTTTCAGAAGCATGCTGGACCCTCCTGCTGTTTATCTGTGAAGACCATAGATCTGGGGGGCGGGAGATAGCCATTGCGGTCAGGACATACTTGCTGCCCAAAGGATCGTATGGAAGCCAAGCCAAAAGCTGACTGTGGCAGAAGGTTCCAATTATTATTAGAATTGGAGCCCTCAAGTGTTCTCATTTGGGTAACTCTGGGCTGAGGTCAATGAATTTTCATCAGCTTATGCCAGTCTTTAATTTGGCCTTTTAACTGAGACTTCATACAGCAAAACTTCAGAAAGTGTCTACTTACAGCATCTTGAAAACCAAATAGCACCAACTGGACTTGACTAATACCGTGACTGTCAAAATCTAATTCCAGTTTCAGTTTTGAAAGAGTGGTAGCAATGATTTTGCGATCAGTTGACCTTACAAATTCTCTGAGGCTGGCAACGAGAGTTGCAATGTGCTCCCATTTTAGTTTGGGTTCTTCAGCTCCCTGTTAGAGGAACAAAAAGGAACAAATTCAACCTAAAGCACATATCTTAAATTGTGTATCCAATCGTTTTAACCAATATGAGTTGATGCACAATAAATAACCTTTGCCCCCTCTACATTCCAGAAAATTTACCTCTAAAACAGACATTCCTTTAATTACCAAAAAGTATATGCTGCACATTGCCACTCATTTATTTTGTGCAAGTAATATATTTCAGCAAGATGTATGGAGAAATGCATATCTCACTGTTATTAAAACTTTTAGGTCCAGAGAGTGAAATTCATCCTCTGCTGAGGGCCACTACAAGGTGAAGTCCTAATTTAGGCCTTAAAGTAGGGCTTACGTGGTTCTTCCTTGATGCAGAGTGCTTTGTAAGGGGTGAATTTCATCCTGAGTGCTTAACTCCAAGCAGAAAGTTCACCCCAATACGGAATTTTCACACTATAGCTACATTTACATATGGCCTGAATTTTTCACAGACTACTATCAACATACTGTGAATGCAATCAGTGATCTGTCTCATTCACATATGTGCTCACATTTCTGAACTCTCTACTTTACGTTAAAACTTCTGTCAGCTAAGAATATACCAAAATGCTTGAAAGGTAATTTTTGGAGAATACTACAGAAAGCAATAGGTGTGGGGTCAAAGGTTTTTTTTTTTTTTTTTTTTTAAATAGCTTTCAGTTATGCCAGCTGAAATTAAATCTGAATTACAATTGTGGGAAAAGAAATATGAAAATATCACAAGTCATTAACATAAACTCAAGAAAAATTTTAGTTACTCACATAATATTAGAGAGTTATTTTGATTAATGTCAGATAAATATTTGCAGAGATACCTAACACTGATTTCTGAAGCAGAAGAGCACGTTGCTTTTTGCTTCCTGCTATTTTTTCCATTCTTCTATCATGATTATGTCAAGCCTCAGGAATTTCTCTGTATATAAATAATTCAGTTTCGTCCTCTTCCATTTATTTACATTGTTCCATTGACACATGCACTGATAGTTATATCTGTTATAGCAGCACTTCAACAAATAGAGGTTTTTGGGCACATCTGTTTTACTTCCTCCATTTTTTAACCCTTCTCTACCACTATTTCAATGATTGATTCTACAAGAACTAGATAACCTCATTCTATTGTTATGGCAACAGTTTCTATCCACAGCAATAGTGCTAGGTACCTTTAGAAAGGTTTACCAAGCAAATCAGACTTTTAAATTTGAACCATAATTTCTTGATCAGACCTTTTTTTAAAACCTAAATACCATGGACCATATTTTACATACAAAGCATGATTTAGAGCAAAGATACTCAGCCTTGAGAATGAAATGCAGTTACAGACTGCAAAAACAATGACAAAAATCACATCATCTGACTCCAGTGTTGCAACATTTGCAGTGTGATGAAGAATTGTTGATTATTCCACATCCTCCTGTACTGATGTCAGAATGAATCACCCAGAGTAGTGTCAGGAGGTAATGCATTATTATTGTGTGGCTTTCTGCAGCTCCACCTGACACTCTTCTCCCTCCCTCCACCTCCACTTCTAACTGCTGTGAGGGATGGGGCTGTGTTCTTTCAATTGCTCCTTTTCATAGCAGCTTGAAAGGACAGGGATGTGTCTAGTATATTTTACTTGCTATAGTCTGACATGAGACCAGCTTGGGCAAAGGAACCAGCCAGATGCACGAACTCCAAAAGAGAGACATGTAACTCTAGAGCCACAGGTTGAATATCCCTGGCTTACACTTCTGGAGTTGATTAGACTGATCATTACATATATTAAGCCATCATCCTTTATTAGTCTTGTTAGAAAAAAAACGTTGGCAAAAATGAAATTTCATTAAAATGTTCATATATTTTCTTCCATTGTTCAACCAGTTGATATCTGTCCGCACACAGAGGCAGTAGTTATGAATAAGGTAAAATACAAATGTACGGCAACACAAATATAATTTTGGTGCATATTTTTATCATCAATACAATTGCACTCTCTCAAGTCCTACATTATATCAGCCACCTATAGATTGTCAAACCTTATTTTGTGCCTGATACCTGGTTTAATATATATATTTACACATATGCATGTACATGCTTACTGGAAACCTGCAAAATTACATGCTATTTTTGTCTGCCTGCAAGTTATTTTACCTGAGCTAAGGCTTCCATTAAGTTCCTCACCACCTTCTCTTGGTCCTCTGTTAATATTCTGTGGAGAGTGGCTCTCCGTTCACTGTCCTTTTTTAGCATGAAGAACCCAGAATCTTTCTCTTCAGGTGAAGGAGGAGCACTATGATCCTCAAAATTCTCATCTGGGATGCTGAAAGTTTACATGATGAAAATTAACATTTAAAAAAAAACTACATTCCTAATCCGTGAAGCAACATGAAGACAACATAGCTCTTACCTCAGAAAAAGGGACTGGATTCCTTTTGCATCTTTTTCTCCACACGATTTGGCTCTTGATTTGAAAGAGAATGGATCAATTTTTAAGTCTGTGTCAGGTGAAACAGAGCCATATTCACTGCTACTGCTCGTATCTTCTACCAGAACAGGAACAGGCAAAGATATGCTCCGAAGGTATTCTACTCATGAAGGAACAATCAGAAAATTAGTGTTTCAAAACTATCACAAATGGCCTAAGCTACAATGGCTATACCTTAATTCTGAAAAGAAAGTTATTCTTTTAAGATGAGGCAGAAAAGGTAAACTCCAACCTCCCACCTCAGTTACACACACACACACACTATATATATATATATAAGCATTTTAAGATGTTACTGGAAAAGAGCTCTCAGCTACTGGAAGGAGTCATAACGTATTTTAGATGAACAGTTCTTAGAGACCTGGGATCATCTCAACTTACTGGGCATTATGGACTTTACAAAGTTAAGATATAATAAACTCCCAGAGCTACAGTGCTTATGTATACATTCATACCAGAGCACCTCTAAGCATTCTCTCAGAGTATTATATCTCAGCACAGAGGGTCTGTCCAAGACCCTTGCAACAATTTAATCCTTACATTAGGGGCCCAATCCTTCTCTCTTTGAAGTCAATGGCAAAAGTCCCATTGACTTCAATGGGAACAATTTCAAGCTTAAGTGGTGCTAGGCCAGGGATGGGCAAACTACAACCTGCCGGCCAGATCCGGCGCCTCAGGGCTTTGGATCCAGCCTGCAGAATTGCCCCCGTGGTGCTGCGGGCCCTGCACTGCTCTCCAGAAGCGGCCGGCACCACACCCCTGCAGCCCCCGGGCGGGGGGGCAGAGGGCTCTGTGCATTGCTCTTGCCTCCAGGCACCGCCCCCCGCAGCTCCCATTGGCCAGGAACAGGGAAATGTGGCCAATGGGAGCTTCGGGGGAGGTACCTCGAGGCACAGCAAGGGCAGCGCACATGGAGCCTTCCGTGCCCCCCCACCCCCAGGGGCCGCAGTGCTTACTGGAGCGGTGCAGGGCTGGGGACAGGGCAGGGAGCCTGCCGTGGCCCTGGTACGCACTGCTGCCACCCCGGAGCCCGAACTCCTCCCTGCACCCCCCCCCAACTCCCTGCCCTGAGCCCCCTCACACACCCCGCACCTCTCCTGCACCCCAACCCCCTGCTAAGCCCCATGCTGCACCCTGCACCTGTGCACCCCAACCCCCTGCCCTGATCCTCCTACTGTAACCCGAACCCCTCCCGCACCCTGCCCCCAACTCCCTGCCTTAAGCCCACTGCCTGCAGCTCGCATCCCTCCTGCACCCCAACTCCTTGCCCTGAGCCCCCTTGTACACCCCACACCCCTCCTGCACCCCAACCCCCCCCCTGAGCCCCCTGCCACACCCCAC